CAACAAAAATCACAAAAAAACTATGGCCTACTCAAGAGAACAAAATACATAGACAGAAACTATCCTTAAAGAAGTCTAGACAAAGACTTCAAACAAGTTTATTAATTATACTCAAAGAGCTAAGGGAAAATATAGACAAGGAATTAAGGAAAATGATACATGAACAAAATCATACTATTTATTAGTAAATAGAAATTATCAAAATAACCAAACAGAATATTTGGCATTAAAATGTCAAATAATTGCCAGGCGCGGTGGCTCATGCCTGTAATCCTAGCACTTTGGGAGGCCGAAGTAGGTGGATCACCTGAGGTCAGGAGTTCAAGACCAGCCGGGCCATCATGGTGAAACTGCATCCTTAAAAAAAAAATGTCAAATAATTAAAATGGAAACTTCACTAGAGGCCAGGTACGGTGGCTCATGCCTATAATCCCAGCACTTTGAGACACCAAGGCGGGAGGATCACCTGAGGCCAGGAATTTGAGACCAGCCTAGCAACATGGTGAAACCCCAACTCTACTAAAAATACAAAAATTTGCCAGACGTGGCGACGTAAACTTGTAATCCTAGCTACTCAGGAGGCTGAGGCAGGAGAATCACTTGAACCCTGGAGGTGGAGGTTACAGTGAGCCAAGTTTGCACCACTGCACTCCAGTCTGGGTGACAGAGCAAGACTTTGTCTTAAAAAAAGAAAAAGAAAAAGAAAACTTCACTAGAGGGGCAAAGCAGACAATTTGAGCAAGTACAAAAGAGCATAGGTGAACTTGAAGATAGGACAATTTAAATTATAAAATCTAAGGAGTAGAAAGGAAAACGATGAAGGAAAGTAAAGAGAGCCTAAGAGACTCCTAGGACACCATCAAATGAACCATATATGTATTATGGTATTTTCAGAAGGAAAAGAGAGATAGAATGAGGTAGAAAAAATATTTGAAGAAATAATGGTCCAAAACTTCCCAATCTGCTGAAAGGTTTAAATCTACAAATTCAAGTTGAAAAAACTCCAAGTATTATAAACTCAACCCCCAACAAGACACATTATGACCAAATTGTCAAAAACTAAAGGCAATAAGAGAATCTTGAAATGAGCACGAGAGAAGTGTCTAGTCACATACAAACATCCTCGATAAGATGAATAGCCAATTTCTTATAACAAACTAAGGAGAAGACAGTGTTATGGTGTACTTACAGTGCTGAAAGAAAAAACAACCTTTCAACCAAGAGTCCTGTATCTGGCAACACCATCCTTCAGAAATGAGGGAGAAATTAAGACGTTCACCAATACATAAGAAGTCTGCACTACTAGATCTTCCACAGAGGAAATGCTAACGGGAGCACTTCACATTGAAACGGAAGGGTACAAAACAGTAACTCAAAGCCATATGACAAGTAAAGGTAAATGTATGGGCAAATATAAAAACCATTATTGCCTTTTTAGTTTTTAATTCCACTTTTTATTTGCCACAGGATTCAAAAGACAAATGCATAAAAATGATTATAAATTTGTGAAATAACTTATCTCACAAATGAGATAACTTGGATGAGATAGACAAATTTCTATAAATGTACAAATTATCAAAACTTACAAAGAAAAAATAGGAGATCTTTGTAGACCTATAACAAGTAAGGAGATTGATTCAATAATAAGAATCTTCCAACAAAGAAAAGTACAGAACCAGGTGGTTTCACTGGTAAATTCTACCAAATATTTAAAGAAGAATTAACATCAATCTTTATCACATTCCTCCAAAAAATAGAAGAGAAAGCAACACTTCATGATTCATTCTATGAGGCCAGCATTAGTCTAATGCCAAAGCCAAAGATATCATAAGAAAATAAAACTACAGATCATACCTTTAAGAATATAGGCCGGGCACGGTGGCTCACGCTTGTAATCCCACCACTTTGGGAGGCCGAGGTGGGTGGATCACGAGGTCAAGAGATCGAGACCATCCTGGTCAACATGGTGAAACCCCGTCTCTACCAAAAATACAAAAAATCAGCTGGGCCTGGTGGCGCGTGCCTGGAATCCCAGCTACTCAGGAGGCTGAGGCAGGAGAATTGCCTGAACCCAGGAGGCGGAGGTTGCGGTGAGCCGAGATCGTGCCATTGCACTCCAGCCTGGGTAACAAGAGTGAAACTCCGTCTCGAAAAAAAAAAAAAAAGAATATAGATGTAAAAACTCTTAGCAAAATATTAGCAAACTATGTCCAACAGCATATAAAGCCATGACAAAGTGAGATTTATCCAAGGAATACAAGTGTAATTCAACATAAGAACATCAATCAATGTAATATACCACGTTAATAGAACCAAAAAAAAAAAAAAAAAAAAAAAAAAAAATAACACCTTAAAAAAACCAAAAAAAAAAAAAAAAAAAAGACAACATATGATCATCTCAATTCATCTAGAAAAACTTCAACATTAAGGATGTTTATTTAAAAACAGATCACTAACATCATATTCAATGGTTAAAGACTGAAAGCTTTTCCCCTAAGATCAGGAACAAAACAAGGATGCCTGCTTCAATCACTGATATTTAATTTGTACTAGAATTTCTAGACAGATAACTTTGACAAGAAAAAGAAATAAGAGTCATCAAAATTGGAAACAGAAGTAAAACTGTCTCTATTCATAGATGACATGATCCTATACATAGAAAATCCCAACAAATCATTTAAAAAAAGAAAAGTGAAACTACTACATATAGTAAACAAACTTAGCAAAGTTTCAGAGTATAAGGCCAACACATAAAAAATCAGTTGTGTTTCTATACACCCCCCAGTGAACAATCTAAAAAAGATAGTTATAAAAGCAATTTCATTTACAATAGCATCTAAAATAATAACAAACTTTGGAAATAAATTTAATGAAGGAAGAGAAAAACTTGTATACTGAAATCTACAAATCATTGCTGAAAGAAATTATAGACTCAAATAAATGAAAATACATTCCATGTTCATGGATAGGCAGATTTAATATTGTTAAAATGTCAGCATTACTCAAAATGGTCTGAATATTAAATGCAATTCCTGTCAAATTCTAATAGCCTTTTTTGTAGATATGAAAATTTTTGTCCTGTATTATTGGATATAGAAAAAAAATCAAAATAGGGAGCACATAGTTTTGAGAAATGAATAACAAATATACAAAAATTCAAACCCTGTAACATGACCAAAGGAGACTTTGTAAGACAAGTTATAATCTTCAATTTATTCATAGAAAAAGTATAAAATGTTGAATATCTTTTGTATTTTCAATTCAAAAAATTAGAAAAGTTTGGTTAAGCAAACTTAAAGAATATAAAAATTTTAATGAATGAGTAGATGGCTACAGGAACAAATAGCAAAGCACCCAACATATAAAGTCCCATGCACCACTCTCTCCCTGCATACACAAATGCAAAATCTGTAGCAGGTGGTTTTATGTAAAAAAATACAATAGAATAGACAAGTTTGGAAACTATGATCAGGAATGAAGAAAGATCAGAAAAATAATAGAGTACATGAATTACATTACACAGTATCATTATATTCAAAATCCGGAATAAAATGAACAACTTTCTAGAAAAATATAATCCATCAAAATTGACCTAAGAATAAATGTAAAAATTGGAATGAACCAGTAGCCATAACAGAAAGTGAGATAGTAGTAATCATTTATTCCCGCAAAAGGTACCAGAATCAGAGTGTTTTATGGCCACATCAAACCTTCAAGACGTAGCTAATCTTTAGTTTAATAGAAACTATTCCAGAGAATACAAATAGATGGAAAGTTTTGACTCATTCTACGAAGTCAGCCATACACTGATGCCAAACAAAGACGAAATCAGCTAAGAGAAAACACTGTTGGCCAGGTTTTGGTGCATGCAGTCTTGGCTCACTGCAGCCTTGACCTTCTGGGCTCAAGCAATCTTTCCACCTTAACCTCCTGAGAAGCTGGGACTACAGGAACATGCCATCAACCCCAGCGAATTCAGCATTTTTTGTACAGACAGGGTCTCACTGTGTTGCCCAGGCTGGTCTCAAACTCCTGGGCTCAAGCGATCCTCCCATCTCAGCCCCACAAAGGGCTGGGATTTACAGGTGTGAGCCACAGTGCCCAGCTTAAATGCCTATTCTTGGCATCAATAGATTGAAAGAGCAAAACTATATGATCCTCTCAAGAGTTAACACAAGTATTTCGATAAAATCAATAATTATCTACAATTTTTTTAATCAGGTAATTCAGCTATAAAAGGTAACTTTCTTAATCTGGTGTGACATATAAACTTGAAATCTCCAGGCCAGGCCACAAATGCTATAGTGAAGTGTTAGAAGCGTTTCCAATTAAAGCAACACCAAGAAAAGATCTGGCATCATCTCTACCGGAGGTTCCAACCATTGTAAGAAGACAAGAAAAATAAATAAAAGATAAAATATGGGAGGAGAGTAATAAAATAGTCTTAATTAGAAGAAAACATTATATTTTATCTAGAGCTGTCAAAATAATCAGTTGATAAACTACTAACAATGAGTTCCATAAGATGACTGGATGTAAGATCAATATGCAAAAATCAATAGCTGTGACTGATTAGCAAATGCAATTATAAAAGTCTGTTTTGAATAGCCCTAAATATTGAAGAGTGCCCTGGTATAAATCTAGAAAGAATGCACAGGCCTTTGTGGAGAGAAGTTTAATAACGAATGGTTTTTAAATGAGCTAAAAGAGATTTCTAAGTTCAATTTACAATCTTAAGGAAAGCCATGCTTTTAAATTTGTGCTCGTGATATACTGCATACCAACTTCACATCAAAGCAGCTGTATTTTTCTGCATACAACAAACCCAATCAGAAATAAAACAACACAACATCCACACTGACAAACAAATAAATGTAGACTGACGAGTAGGGACTCCAGTCCCCAAACACCTGGACCCCCTGAGCTGGCAGACCACTTTCTTCCCTGTGGTGGAATGGAAGCCTTCACCCTGCCCACAAAGCCCTGCACTGTATTCCTACCTTGTTGTGAGACTAGTCCCCATCCTGTAGCCCAGCAATTGGCACTGGTAAGGTCCAGATCTGGAGGTGGAAGGCAGACCGGGAGCACGGAGTCAGAAAACGCAATGCGGCTCTTCAGCTGCACCAGCGCCACGTCGCCTCCGATGGGGTGGTCCACCTCATACGAGGGATGCAGGATCACCCGTTCCACCTCATACCACTGGGTGTGGTTGCCGGCCACCCTGAGGTTCACAAGGCCTACGTACATGTCATAGATTTTGATGTTCTTGTCCCTGCGTGGGTGAGAACAGAGGAACAATGCCCGCTGCCTCCTGTGTGGTCAGCCCACAGGCCTGGGGAGGCCAAGCACAGGAGGCTGGCGCCTACTTAGTGGGACCGGAAAGCCAGCTTCTTCCGGCAGCACAGTCGGGACCTACCTGGCTGTCTGGCAGAGGTGCCTCCTGAGTCGACTTGGCCCATGGAGGCTCTGGAGACCAAAGTCTGTGCACGGCCAGCAGCTGTACAGGCCAGCAGCCCAGGCCTGCGAGACCTGCTCTCATTCTTACCGACAGCCTGGCTGCTCACATCCCTGTGGAGGCCACATGGCCACAGGAGAGCCGTGCCTGCTGTGCCGGGCAGCTGCGGTGAGCCGGCTGCTGGAGGAGCCACCAGGAAGACCAGGTGCTTGGAGACCAGCCTCTCTCACGGGGACCTGGCTGTGCACTTGGGGGACCAGC